TTGTGGGTGGTCGGTGTCAGCCATGTCTTGGGAGATGTTTAGAAATGTTAAGGGAACCAGGAGACACTTTGCTTCAGGGCAGAGTTGCCCTTGCATATTGGAGTCAGTGGAATTCTTTTTGTGTGGCATTTGGAATAATGCCAGTTGTATGAGTGAAACTATTGTGTGTCCACAGCAGAGAGTCTGGGGAGTGGGGTGGTCTATTGGGATAGGGAACAGCACATATATGCCCAGACAGGAGTGGCTTATAAAATGGCCACAACGTCATTGAGTATAGTGAGAACTGATAAGGGCAGGTCATAAGAACTGGGATCCTGACAAGCGGCCAGTATCCCACCACAACTTGTGCGCTGGGATGCTCAAAATTGGGCCGGCTCACAGTAAAGTGCAGCAAATGAACGGTTTGCAGGGAGGCCATATGAGGAGAGACTGAGGGAACTGGGTCTCTTCAGCCTGGAGAAGAGGGGACTCAGAGGGGACCTGTTAGTGACATACTAATGGGGGGGTCATGCAGGGGTGGGTTGTGCAGGGGTGGGTTGTGATCTTTTTGCTCCTACTGTGGTGGGCAGGACATGTTCCAATGGAGCCAAGCTCAAGGAACCAAGAGTCAAGGTGGATGCCAGGAAGCACTTCCTGATGGTTAGGACCCCCAGGGCATGGAATGGGCTTCCATGGGAGGTGGTTGAAGTCCCATTGGTGAGAGTGTTCAAGGACAGGCTGGACATTCACATGTCATTCTCCATGTCATGAATGGAGCTGGCTGGAACTGGGTGTCAGACTAGACGGCCTGGAAAGCCCCTTCTGACTCACTCTATGTTTCTATGAAATAAGACCACCCTGGAGTACACAGATACGCAAGCCCTTGCACTAAATTTGTGTGGAATATGCAGAATTGAAGTGATTAACAATGACAGTGCAAATGAAGCCTGTCATTCAAGCTGTATTCTGAAAATGAAGAGGCAACTGAGGTCATATGGAAGATATGTGCTGAAGTGCACCAAAGAATTTTGAAGAAGATCAGTCCATGCTTTATAGACTGCAACAAAGTCTTTGACCGCATGGATCATGAGAAGCTATATATGGTCCTGAAAGAAATGCACTTGATTGTCTATTGTACAACCTGGTTTACAGACAAGAAGCTACTGTTAGGGTAGAATATGGAGAAACAGAATGGTTTACTATAGGCAAAGGCATCAGAGAAAGGTGTATTTTATCTCCCTATCTGTTCAATCTGTACAGAGAACATATCATAAGGAAAGATGGATTAGAATCAGAGCAAGAAGGAATGAAAATTGGTACTGTAAAGCTATGCAGGTGATACCATATTACTGGCAGAAAGCAGCAAGAAATTGAAAAAAATGAATGTAGAAAGTGCAAAATAAGACTGGGGCTGAATATTAAGACAACAAAAATCATGACTACAGAAGAATGATAGAACTTTGCTGCAAACAATGAAGAAATAGAAATGGTGAACTTGGATCAGACATCAGTTCAAAGGTAGACTGCAGCCAAGAAATTCAAAGAAGACTGCAAGTGTAAGGATGTTTCACTGGAGGTCAAAATTACCCATACTACTGTGTTTCCAATCACTCTGTATATGGATATGAAAGCTGGACAGTGGCAGAAGCTAACAGGAAGAAAACTGATGGGTTTGAACATGGTGCTGGAGGAGAGCTTTGTGAATACCCTGAACGGATAGAAAGATGATCACACAAAGATCAAATGAAATGGTTCCCAGATCAAATGAAGCCAGAACTTTCCCTGGAGAAAATTTGACAAAACCGGTGCTGTCATACTTTGGGCACATGAGAAGCCAAGATACACTGGAGAAGGGATACTGTCATTCAAGCTGTATTCTGAAATACAGGGAAATGCTAGGGAAACTCAAAGGTAGAAGATGTAAAGGAAGTCCTAATGTGAGAAGGCTCAGTTCCATGAAGAGCGGCACAGCCTTGAGTTTGCAAGAGCTGAGGAAGGCTGTCAAGGGCAGGACACTTTGGAGCACGTTCATTCATAGAGACGCCAGGAGTCAGAGCTGTCTCATGCGCTGGCACACACTGGTGACTGGTAGAGTTGATGCTTTGCTCATCATAGGTCAAATAATTCTCAACAGCAGCCACATACCAAATATTGTAAACTTGCAATGCTTTTACACATAATCACTTCAAAAAGATTGTGTGAATCAGTCTGCGAGGGGAAGAAAAAAGAGATTAACTAACACAACCATCTGCTTCAGGGAGATGCTTTGTACTAAAAACAGTTCGCGCAGCTCAGTTGGAAAGCACTAGATGGAAAAAAGAACACAATATTCTTAAAGAGATGTGCTATGCTGTGTGCTAAACATAACTCCCTGAGGGTAAGCAAGTTTACGTTTCTTAATATAGGAAAAGGGAGGACAGTGTATATGGACATATCTTTTTATGCTGAAAGCGGATCAAATCAAATCATACGCAGAAATAATCGAAAGGAACGTGTGTGCATGCATTTGTGTGTGCAGACTGTACACGGTCAGTTGGATCCAGGCTAGGTTTATCGCATTCATATCCCACTGAACTTGAGTCCTGCTGACTTCAGGGAACTCAGGGCAGCTAAGTTACACTGCAGTGCTATAAGCTCTTACCTGGAAATAAGTTGAATTGAGCTCAAAGGAACTTACGTCTGAGTGGACATGTATAGGATGCAGTATAAGATTAAATCTAATGCTGCGTATCAGTAGAAGCCTTGGAGGAAATGAAGGACTGCCAACAGATTGGACATCCTCACATGTTTATATGAAGGTGATCTCAGAAACCCCAAAGTTATGCGACTATATATTATTGTAGTTGATCTGTTTCATATTTAATAATGCTTTAACTCTAAAACAACCCAACAGTATCAAAATCTAGAAAAACATCCTGACATAACAATACAGTTTCTGAATTTATCTTTAAAGAAAAGCCTTAGAAGAAATTCTTATTTTCTTCAAACCATCCTACACAAATACATTTCTCCCACAAATATGTCATACAAGCGACTGGTTAAAACCCAACATATCTTGCTTTTAGTACCAATCATCCCAAATGTTACCATGAAACTTAGAGCTAAAATAAAAGCAAATGGTATTTACTTAAAATGCAAAGGGATTATTAGCAATCCTATTGGTGGATTAGATCCAGACTTAGACCTATCATAGACCCCCTGAAATCCATAGGGCTTTAGCCATGACTAACTTAAGTCCCATGGATTTTAATGGAACTTAATGGAATATTAGAGCTAGTCCAACATTTCCTGCTTCCTTACATTCCTCAGTTAGCAAACTACCTTCCTTATATCAATGCATATTTTCAAACCCGTGTTTTGTTTCTGTTTTTGCGTTTGTGCTGTGCTTAACCAGCCCATTACAATGAATGGGACTTGAAAGCCGTTAACATTGCCTGGATGTAACCTCATGTTTTTATTACTGGAAAACTACATCTCAGAGAAAGGACAATCATTTTAATCTAGTTTGCTACAGAATTAACCAAAAATAAAAACAAAAGTATTTACCCAAATCTACACTGTTCTCCATTATTTGGGACAAAAAGAACTTGTAATTAAAGAGGGAGGGATGGAGAGAGGGAAACCAGAACTGAGAGATTTCCTCCCGCAGGCCCTGGCCTTTGATTGCTTTGCTCTTCAAAGACTAAGCTTGAATCCCTGTGTGTTCAGCCATGTTAGAGCTGGTTTCTGATTGCCATGTCTTCACTCTTCATATATAAAATCATAGATACAACAGGCAGGAACATCATGGTCCTTTCCCTGGTCCAATAGCTGGACCCATTGAATATGGCTACTGCAGGGAGGTAAGAATTTCATTTGGGTTTGTTTCTAATATGTTTTTTACCAAAATGTGTAAAGTTGTTTTTCATGGAAGAAAAAGAACACAAGACTTAAAAGATTCAATGTAGCGGAAAGAGACATTGGTGGATTCTTCCATCTCTAGTTTTCACAATAGCTTCACATTATTTTTGAAGTGCTATTTTTCAAATTCTGAATGCTTGAATGCAGGGTCCGATCTTCCTGTGATACCTTGCTTACGTGTTAGTGACTAAGAACAAGGGAAATGTAAATGTATGTTGCTATTTTTACCTTATCAAGATATATTCCACACCCAAGATTCAGTGAACATATATCAGCTGAAGTGGGCAAGAGGGTAGAATTACCTGTGATCAGAAACACAGGCCTGCCACTATGAATGGCAGCTTTTTCTTCAGTTTTCATATTCTCTCCCTGTTGCGCAGCTCAATTTCTCCCATGCCCTGAAGTCATGATGGCAAACATTTCCCTGGCCCATCAGTGACAACACTTGGTGGATGAAAAATATTTACACTCATGATGTCTGGATGAACAACATCATTCTGCAACATGGTACACTCCAGATGTTTTGACCTGTTTTTCCCAGTTACAATGTATGGCTGTGAAAGCTGGACCATAAGGAAGGCTGAGCACCGGAGAATTGAGGCCTTTGAATTGTGCTGGAGGAGACTCCTGCGGGTCCCTTGGACTGCAAGGCGATCAAACCAGTCAGTCTTAGAGGAGATCAGCCCTGACTGGTCTTTAGAAGGCCAGATCCTGAAGATGGAACTCAAATACTTTGGCCACCTAATGAGAAGGAAGGACTCCCTGGAGAAGAGCCTAATGCTGGGAACAATAGAGGGCAAAAGAAGAAGGGGGCGGCAGAGGATGAGGTGGCTAGATGGAGTCACTGAAGCAGTTGGTGTGAGCTTGAGTGGACTCCGGGGGATGGTGGAGGACAGGAAGGCCTGGAGGAATGTTGTCCATGGGGTCGCGATGGGTCGGACACGACTTCGCGACTAACAACAACAAGCATTCCTAAACCTGGATCTGATTCATGGTATAGTCAGGTCCATTTTATTCCTGTATCCAGAATGGTGCTACAAGTTAAGTGAGTTTTAAATACCAAACTGTACATGTTTTGAATATTGTATTAACTAGGAAAATACTTTTGAAGCTGTTGCTATAATATTGAAAGAATGTAGACGTGGTTGTAAAGAACAGAATGGCAGAGTGGGTGGGAGGAAGAGAATTATTAGCTGCAAGCTTCACAAACTGGACATCTGAAGATAGTTAAATCTAGGGTCTAAATTTGTCCTCAAGTCAACATACTTTCAGAGGTTGTGTAGTGATCAAATGTATAGAACCATATGCTGTATGGTGCATGTGTGCGCATGCTTCTGCATGCACACACATACACACTAAAGGAAAGAGTTTACAAAACTGTAGTGAGGGTTTTGCTAATCCATAAGGCAAACATGTGAGCCATTCATTGTGTTCTGTTTCGGATATTAAAAGTCCCCCCCTCCACACGTACATCAACATTTACCCAAGCAAATCTCTCTCACATGTAGGAGCCATGGCAAGCTATGCAGCCAGATTTATACAAAAAGATGAGCACATTCAGATGACACAGGAAGGCAAGCTGGTTTACACGTACAGCTTAGATTGTGCGCAGCTTGTGCAACAGCATCCCCTCTTCGGGCTATGCATTTCCTGCCTTTGGTGATCCCCGAGCAGGCGCCTTGTCACCAGAGCTCTGTGCTCATGAGTAGTTTGTCAACAGGGAGAAGCACAGCTGCGTGCATTTCCGAGACGGTCTGTCAGGATGAGCGCCAGCACTTCAAAAATTAACATGATGCAGCTGAGCACCAGACTCTTGGCTGGGTTTTATATGGGGGAACGCCTGCTTGCAGGCAGCAGCAACCTCTCCACAACTAATATTGCCATTAAGGTCCCCAAAACCATTATTCTTAGCAAGCTCCAGCTGTTCGTGTTTCCACATGACTAAATAACAGGCCGTCATTAAAATATTTCCTTTTCTAATTACTGTCTTCTCCACATATGACTTTTATTAAAATGCACCTGTTAAAATATTCATAGGAAATGTCTTTGTTCTTCTTCATTTTAATGAAGTGGAGAGAGTCCATTGCCCAAAAGCACTCTTCCCCCTATTTCTTGACCATTTGCAATGGTATACATTTGTTGCAATAAGGTTTGGGAAATTTCCTCTGGGAAAGGGGGAAGAATGCTAGGAAAGGGGGAAAAACACACACACGTTAACTATAAAGTGGTTTCAGGAAAAGATTATTAACTTGCAATTGCCCTACAGACATATATAAGTATTGAGGAAGTCTGAATTCCACCGGGATTTTCATCACTCAGTCGGTACTGTTCGCAGGGCTGCCCAAAAGCTCTCCATTAGCCTCAAGAGCCAGCTACAAAGGAAATGTAAAACAGATGAGGTAAGTTCCTTCAGACTGTGAGCCGAAGCAGCCCGTGAGGTCCTGGGCTCAGGGGGAACGAGCATATGCAGCAGTGCTTAGATCAGTCTAAACTTACCATGTTCTGACACCAAGAAAAATGATTGTTATTTACACTGGCGACCATTTGGCTGACAGGATTTATAAGGTCAACCAGCTGGGCTGAAAACCTCATTTAGAGTCTTCTAGACCTGCCATCTATTTGCTCAGGAGAAACACCTTTCCAAGCCCTCGCTTGCCTGTAAATATCCCATTAGAGGGGAATGGGCTGGAGGGCGGTACCCGGGCACGGCGACTGGAACACGCCGCTCTCTCTCGCAGAGCTGGAAAATTTAGCTGGTAATTGTGGTGGTGGGTCAAATTAAAGCCAAGCATGCGGCCTATCGAGGTGAGCGATCGCATTGCCTTTGCTGTTCCTTGCTCCTACGCGAGGAAAGAGGGGGAGGAAATAATGACATGAGGGAGCAGGGACAGGAACTGGGGATGTTTGCTTAAGGAATCTTTCAGTCCAACATGATAAATGCTTCAATTCCTCATAGAGCATTTTATGATGAAATGCTTAAAAGGCTCTATTTAAAACAAGCCAGGACAAGCGATAGCATCTCAAGCCAATCTTGCACCACCCATTGTAATAGCAGCAAAGCCCTGTTATAACATACCAGTGTGCGGCACCTGCAAACGCTCAGGGTGATACCGATTAGACAGCTGCCAGTTTCTTAACACATTTCTGCTAAGGAAATATTTGATATAGGATATTGAAAAGCAAAGTATGAATAAATAAAACCATGCTGTATTAAACTGGTGCTTCTTCTCTCTCTCTCTCTCTCTCTCTCTCACACACACACACACACACACACACACAATTTTCCCTTCATGTTGTATGATAAGACTTTCAATTGTGTGCAGCTGCAGCAAAACAGAGGCAATTAAAGCATATCAGGAATTACTTAGTACACAGGGCGTATATGTGGCCTTGCATTCCCATAATACTGGAAAGGCTCAAAATAGAGGGGGAAAGCTGCTCCCATTATAATGCTGGGATCTTGTCCCCAGGTGGGCATCACGCTGAGAGAACAGGGCAGAAGCAGGGAGAGACATGGCAGCTGTGGCAATGAAGCTGGGTCATATTCGCCCACTTAGAGGGTTGACCAGGGTGGCACCAGTGCTGCAAGAGCGTAGCTCGTGGCACTTGTTGGGCTGTACGTGAGCTAGAATTCTCTGCTGCACCAAAAGATGGAGATTTGAGCTAGCTCTTGCCTTAGTAGATGGAGCACAGTATACCAGCTGTTCATGTTGCTGACAGCTTACCTAGCTGTAGATGTTCTTTGTCACTAAATAAACATTATAGAACTTCTTAATTACTTTCCACTGCTTTGTTATGCCCTGTTATTTGGGATGTTTTAATAACATGGTATAACTATTGAGCTATGATGCACAACCCAGATAGAAGAGTACATTTATTAAGTTTGGAGGCAGTGGGTGGAGTTGTTGTTGTTACTGTGGTTAAAGCTATTGGTATACTGCTTACCACATGCAAAATATATCTCAAAGCAGTTTTGAAGGAGATTTAAATAGATTAAATACATTGTGTAACACAGTGAAATTCAACCAAAATACACAATAAAACATTAGAACCATAACTATAAGCATAATTACAAACCAAGCAGATCTCACATTCACTTAGGGCAGGCCTGGGTAAAGAATGAGTCTTTAATTGGCACTGAACACATGACATGGTGCCACCACAGAGAAGGCCTGCTTCTGAGTTTGCTACAAGATGGAAATCTGTGGGTTGTAGTAGGCGGAAGGCCGCTTGCCGGGCAACCTAGTCCCAAGACTTACCACCAGCATGCATGCCCCACCTGAAGCCACCTTTTCTGAGCCCTGCCACCACTTCGATTTAAGGGTAGAATTTGTCTGCAGAGACAGACCTGAGCCATCCATACCTCACATTGTGACATCTCACATGTATACCAAAATGCCTACCCAGTAATGCTGAAATGCCACTGCCAGGGCAGGTAATAGAGGGTAGGTCTTCCACCTCTGTAGTAATAAGGGCTAGCAAAGGCACGCCTGGCAAATCCCTGTGGCCCAACTGTGACTATGCTGCAGTCCCAGCTCTCAGTCTTGTCCTTGAAAGTCAGACAATGCCATGTGAGTTCCATTTAGGGCACGTACACTATTTTCCTTGGCTTTAAAGGGGCACCACACTGCCTTAAGTGGATTCTACTGGCACTTAGAGGGGTAGCAGACCTGGTGAATCATAGAATAGTAGAGTTGGAAGGGGCCCATAAGTCCATCAGGTCCAGCCCTCCGCTCAGTGCAGGACTCTGAGTTAAACCACCTTCTCAGATGGCTGTCCAACTGCCTCTTGATTGTATCCAGTGTGGGAGAGCTCATAACTTCCCTAGGCAATTGGCTCCACTGCTGTACAGTCAGGATATTTTTCCTGATATCTAGTTGGAATCTGGCTTCCTGTAACTCAAGCCCATTGCTCCATGTCCTGCACCTTGGGATGCTTGAGAAGAGATGCTGGCCCTCTTCAGTGTTATAGTCTTTCAATACTTGTAAAGTGCTATCATATCTCGCCTTGTTTTTCTCTTCCCAAGGCCAAGCATGCCCAGCGCTTTTAATGTCTCTTCATAGGACTTTGTTTCCAGTCCCTGAATCATCCTCGTTGCTTTCTTCTGTATCCATTCCAGCTTGTCCACATCTTTTTAAAACTGAGGTGCTCAGAAATAGACACAGTCCTCTATTGGTGGCCTAACTAGTGCTGAATAGAGGGGAACCAGTACCTCACATAATTTGGAAGCTATATTTCTATTAATGCAGTCCAATATAGCATTAGCCTTTTTGTGGATTGCTAGAGTGGACAGAGAAGGAGCTTGGTGAGACTGGAGCTTGGTGAGACTGGAAGAACCCCTCTTGAAAGACTCTTCATAACATGAAAGTACTAAATTCCATGAAAATTATCTGTGCATAAAACTGTGCAACATGGGTTCCCATGACAATGGCATTTACTTGATCTGTCCATAAGCCTAGAATCCTCTACAAGTCCTCTACTCCCAGAGACCACATTTCCATCATCACTGTGGAGTTACAGATTAATGTCAGATGACACACAGACATTTCACTCAACACACGTCCACATCAGTACAAATCTGCAGGTTGATCTTCCATTCACTGCAGATTTTTACTGCAGTGAATGGGAGAAGGGAACCCATGCAATTTGTAACATGTGACAGGAACTAGGTGTTTCATAGTGCTAATTTGGTCCCTTGCTTGCTGAGTAAACTCTTGGGATGGTGTTAGGCTCAATGAGTTGGACGGCCCTTCAGGAAGAGAAATGGATAGAGGTTAAAAACATCCTGGGCTGTGACTGGAAGACTGAATGGGGATTCTAGCTTGATGAAGCCTGATATTGCTAGTAGAAGCCTCATCTTGTGGACTTGCCTACTCAACAGAATGTTATGTTCTGCATTTCAGACTCTAGAGCTTGTGCTGTCCTACTCCATACAAGTCTAAATTGAAACATGGCTGTCCAGTGCTTGGACTGGGTCCTAAGTCCACGGAATGGACTTACCATGGCCATGTGTCCTATTGTGCAAAGGACAGTTTTGGTCAGCTCCAGATATGGAGACACCTTCAGCCCAGTTTCTTCTGGTAGGATCTCTCTGATGTCAATGGGCACCCCAGTGTGCTTACTTGGTATGGTGGCAGTACAGGCTGCTCCAGGCCATGTGAGATGTACTCCGCAGCCTGCAGCCATGGCTTTATTTTCACCAGTTCTCCCAGTGTAGCATTGCAGGGGGAATTTAAGTGATAGCTCTGTAGCATCACTGAGGGCCACCATTAAACATTTCGAAGTGCCCTACGATTATGCCAAGACTGAGGGAGAGATGGGAGTTCCCAAGCCTAGCTGCTCAAGGCTGAGCAGAATGCCAGCTGAAGCAGAACATGCTTAAAACGGCCCCTCCTTTGGGGCCATGTGTAGAGTGGGGAACCATCTCTCACACCTTGCAGGCTAGTCAGATTTTTCTGATTCTGAGGAGGACGGGGTGGTGGTAGAGCCAGGGCTGGCTGGAAGAGTTGACAGATTCAAGGTTACCTAGAGAAACTTCTTGTTCATAGCATGAGAATCCACCTGCCTCAGAGAAGGTGGAAGGTTTTTCAGGGTGGGAGGGGAGCAGCTGCAGGAAGAGCTCTTTGACCTGCCAGGCAATGGCAGGAGAAATAAGCTGCCCAGTCAGGAGGTCTCAGGCATCCCCACTCCCTAACCCTCAAGCAGCAGCAACTACCTTGATGGTGGACAAAAGATTTACTGAAAGAGGAGAGGGGAGGCTTCAGTTTGGGTTCAGCTCTTCACGTGGGCAGATGCTTCCGCCACCACTCTAGTGGAAGCTTCTCTGATTTATAGTGTTCTGAACCAGACCAATCTCAATAAAGAGGCAGGCTTCTAAATTTCATCTTGAGTTTGACAAGGAGAGGGAAAGAGGGAGGCAACCTGTACATGACACAATTAACCTCTAGAAGCTGCCCAAGGATGTCATGTACTACTTACGCAAAACCACACTTCTGGATTTTCGGTTAACTTATATATGTGCGCGTGTGTATTGCCAACAGTTCAGAAAAGCCAGAATGGAAAATATACACCAGAGAATTTAATAATGAATGCCAAACCAAAATGTCTACAAAGCCCCAAGTATTTAAGGAGTGACAGGCAATTGTTTGGAACCATATAAAAAGGAAAGAAGAACAAAATGAAAAGTTGACTGCTTTGGGAAAGAGAGGAACTCACAAACCACTGGACTGCTTTAACAGGAAGAAAAGTACAAAATTTCAGGCAGGCATTAATTGCCCGATCACCCAGCAGGCTGAAGACTGTGGCAAGAAGGTCCTTTGGCTTTAGGCGAAATTGTCTCTTCCAGCTTAGTTGCTAGCAGGTCAGCACTGGGCAATTAAGCGCCTCACCCTGAAAAATATAAATCTTGCTTTAGCCTTCTTGGGGAAAAATACATGTTTAACAAGTGTCTGGAGCTTTCTCTTTGCAGCTTTCTTCATCTTACAGTCTCTATGGGTATTAGAGAGTTTGTGCCTGCTTCGAAGCACATATAAGTTATGCAATTAAGAAAGCGAGTTCCATATCCCAGAAGCCTCAGAGTGAGTACTTTAAAAGTTTATTATATAGGGGCAAGAGCTATTTGCATTCACTACACAGATGTCATGCACACTACTGTAAGGAACCTCCATGGCGATGAAGGGGTTGCTTGCGTGGCCTTCAAAACTATACTGGATCACCAAAATATCTTTAGCATTCTTATTGCAAATCCTATGGAAGCTAATGAAACCTCATCTAATGCATTGCTAATCTAATATATGGTTAAACTCACCTGGGAAAATACATGAACGAGGGCAACTGGCCCTGGATGGGGGTAATCACCATTTGTGGTTTTAAAAGGCTGCCATTGCATTTAATTCTCAAGCAGCTGCAGTTTGGGGTGGAACATGCATTTTTAGTGATGGGGGAGGGATACACATCCCCCCTGAAATTAACATTTCTTACAGGTTTCTTTCCCATGTGCATTTGTGGTTTTGAGAAATGCCTGCTTAGCAAGAATAGTTTTTGTCTTCAGAGACACAAGAAATTAAATGCTACCTGCCAGGCCCCATTCAACAGTTGCTTGGACATCTTTTTCTATCACTGCCTTAAGGGCACAAGCAAGATGCTAAACCTCTTGGGCCTTCCAGTTTCTCTGTGGCCTCATGATAGCATCTCTGATATGACTAGAATGAGGCTGATGGAGTGAAGGGTAAAGCATGTTTGGTTCCTGCTTCTTAGACTCAAACACCAAATTTTGCTAAAGTTTCTTATCTCTAGGAAGCAAAGTAAATAGCCCTACACAAATAAAAACTGGGCAGTCAGTTAAGGCATGTTTCATTTTAAATATATTTTAGACATGCATCTGTTAATACATGTTCACTTATAACTATGTGTATTTATAATTATTGTATGAAAATGGCCAGCCTCACAAGTTATTAAATGCAAGCTACGTATGTGTCTAAGCATTCCATGTGTGGCTGAGCAGATAATATTGGAAACACCATAATTAGGAGATAGGACAATTGTTTCTGGTGCAACTTCATAAAATATGAGTTAGAAAGAGACAAAAGATTTTTCATGCCTTCTGCAAGGTTTGCTTCCAATATAAGATATAAAAATGCTATTGTGACGCTGGAGATATTTTTGCTAAATTAAGCCCCCCACAAATGCATAAAACTACTACTATGCAGATGTTGGTCAGAATAATTAAAGCTTCTGTATGCTATTATCCTCTGGTGAAGCAATATGTTTTGTAATTGGAAGTCAATGCCGTGCAAACATTTATACTATAGGGAAATGGCTATTTATGCTATTTTTAATATATAAGACATAGCTTCTTCTCTAGTCTTATGATGGCAATCCCTACACCTTCTTTTTCCTCCAGGAAAGGAGAAAGGAATGAGAAAGGACAAAGAGAAACAGCTGCTATGAAGTGCAGCTGTGGGCTCTTTCCGCAATGAAGAATGTGTACAAGTTCTGCCCGTTCATATGATTTATCTGTTAGCTAATCAAAGCAATTTATTTTGGACAGTCATCAAGGAGGGTCCACTACCGTGAATGCTGGATTATATCATGTATGGTGTGAGGGATGAAAGTGGCCCCAAAGTGGGCTGGATGGGGTACAGGCACACAAAACTGGGGTGATTCTCCAGCTGTGTTTGACTTCCATGCCTAGCCATGGATGATGGGAGCTGTGGGACAAAACATCTGGAAGGCCACACTGTCCTCTGATGCAAAGCAAACACCTTTATTTTACTTCAGTGTGACTGCCCTTAGCTGTCTCAAAAATTGATGCAGGTCTGTTAGCAGAGTTGCTCTGAGCACCATCTGGTCCAGTTTTATAGGATGCAGTTCAGTTGCTGAGGCCTGAGATGTGGACAAGACACTTGGCCAAGCCTGGTGAACTCCTTGTTCGTTTCACCATTGCCCTTCGTGGCTTCTTATATCTAAAGGGGGGAGGGGTCATTAGGCTGGGCCCAAGAGGATGCAAATTCCTTGAGAGATGGAGTGATGATTGAAGTTGAAGTCCGGCCCCAATTCAAGGTGCTGGTTTTAAGCTATAAAGCTCTGAACGGCTTGGGACCAGGATGCCTGAAGGAGCTCCTTTTCCCTTACATGCCCTCATGCCCCTTAAGATCTGCGGGAGAGGCTCTGCTCCAGGAGCCCTTTTTAAAGAAGATAAAAAGAACAACTACCCAGAGTAGGACCTTCTCTGTGGTGGCACCCAGATTATGGAATGCACTCCCTGGAGAGGTGCGCCTGGCGCTGAGTTTATATTATTTTCAGCGCCAGGTTAAAACCTTTTTATTTAACCACTATTTTAAAAACTAATATTTTATCGTTAACAGTAGCTCTTTTTGTTTTCGGTTTTTTGTTTTTATATAATCTTTTATTGAATTTGTTATTTATAAAGATTATTTTATTGTTTTTAATTGCATATATTGTGAGCCATCCGGAGATGCCAAGGGATGCAGTGACAGCATACAAAAGTTTTAAATAAATAAATAAATAAAATGATTGACAGTTTTTTGTTTTTTTTTAAAGGTGGTAATTAGGCCACTTCTGAAAAATGCTGACCTTAGACTGGATGGTAGCCAGTAGCCAGTGTCTGCTTCCTAGGCAAGGTGCTTGAAAAGATGGTTGCCAGTCAATTACAGACTCTATTAAATGAAAAAAAGATTATCTAGAGCAATTTGAGACAAGCTTCAGGCCTGATTTTGGAACAGAAACAAACTTGGCCATCCTGTTGGGTGACCTTTGCTCAGAGCAGGACAGGAGAGTGGAACCCTCTAGATCAGTGATGGTGCACCTTTTAGAGACCAAGTGCCCAAACTGCAACCCAAAACCCACTTATTTATCGCAAAGTGCCAACACTGCAGATTCAAATCTGCCAGGGCACAGCACAACATTATTAAGAATCTCTTAATTAGAACACCTCTTTGCTAAATCTTAGATATTCAATTTCAATTTTTCATGAGAAAACTCAAAGCTAAAATCTTGTGTTAATAAAAATGCATGTATTAAAACTCACAGCCAGTCCAAGCAAATATATATATCCTTGGCAGCGCACTGACCAGCCATGCGAAAGCTCGGATGAGTTGCTGCTCATGACGTCATCACCTGGCGCCGCTACTCCTTTCCAAGCATGCACATAGCCCCTGTGTGCGCTGTTATCTGGTGCTCAGCTACTGGGGCGATGCTGGGGCAACTCGGCTCGCGTGCTGACAGAGATGGCTCTGTGTGCCCACTGCGGCACGCGTGCCATAGGTTCGCCACCACTGCTCTAGATCCGCTTGGAACTCTCCATGGCTTAGGATACCATTGACCATGGTGTCCTTCTGGATAAGTTGTCAGGATAGTGAACGCTATGCTGCACTGTGATGAGTCTGCTCTGACTTGGGCGGGCAATTCTAGAAAGCAGTTTTGGGGGATTATTGCTCTGTGTCTCGGCAACTATGCTATGGGATTCCACAGGGATCTAGTCTGTCACTCACACTGTTTAACTATTACATAAAAGCTCTGGAGGAGGTTATCCAGAGGTGTGGGCTGAAGTGGCATCATACGATGTTGATGACACCAAACTCTACTTTTCCTTTCCATCAAATTCAAACAGTGGCTGCCTGGTCCCTAGATGCAGGTGGACTCCGAGGCAAGAATCACCTTCTAGCATCTTAGAAGGTGTCCACCCCCCCTGTCCACCCCTTCTCTGGACAGGGGTAGCTCAAACTCTCATCTAGACTACTGCAGTGATGCCCAAGCACTCACATCTTACGGCTCATTTTAGATAATTAACTTTAGTGTTCTGTATAATGGCCTAAGATTATTTTTTAAAAGAACTAACAACCTCAATTGATTGCTTCTGCGATGTCTTATATATGGAGCCACTGCTGAAAATGGTCCACAAACTGCAGAGGTCCAAAATAGGGCAGTGAGATTGTCAACACAAGATGCTAATATGATCATATTAGGCCAGCCCTTAACCCGCTTCACTGGCTGCCAGTCCACGTCCAGGCCTACTTCAAAGTGCTGGTATTGTATTTTAAGCCATAAGTATCGTGGGCCTGGTTACCCGAAGGAACGTCTCCTTCTATGTATACTTGCCCAGATGTGAAGACCTTCCTCAACAGTCCTTCCATGGGAACCTCTGCCAAAGGCAGTGAAGCATGTGACCACGGCAGGGGTCTTTTCTGCCGTGGCACCCTGATCGTGGAATGGCCTTCCCACGTGGCTGGACCTGGTGCCAACCTTGTGCTCTTCCCAGGGACAGGTGAAGACCTTCCTATTTTCACAGGCATCTCAGTCTTTCAGTTAATTTAAATCTGCTTCTCTAATTTAAATCTTTGCATTGCTGCTAGGTTTTATTATGGTTTTTATTTTATACAGAAGGTTTAATTTTAAAGGTTTATATCTTACATTGTTTTTTATGATTTTAACTGCTGTGAACGGGCCAGAGAGTTCTGTTTATTGAGCAGTATACAAATGTAATAACTAAATAATGTGCTAAATTATGGAAAATCAGACAAGGACACGTTATCAGTTTTGCAGGTGTGGAGCTGAGTAAAAACACTACAAATGCTTGAAAGAACAAGTCAGTGACAAAGACATAAACAAAACAGAGATTGTGAGAACAACAGCCAGGAAATGACTCAGCACACAGCTACAAAGGGACAAAGCATGGAGACAAAACAGAAGGCATATGCAGATTAAAAAAAGTTCCAAATGACTCTTAACTGATCAGTATTTCAAATGATGAAACTTGAAATAGACATAATTTGAAATGTGTCATAATCTGCTGAATTTGCACCTGGCGGGCCTAATGGTTTCTCTTGCAGGAAAAGCACCCAGTCATTATGCAGAGCCAGGGCTGGGTCTAAGCCAAATGCAGCGTTTTCAGTGGCATCATCTTAGAACTTGACATGGTATGGAGATGATTCCCTTAATTTGGCCAGCCTGCCTGGTGGCTGATTTGCACTCAACCACACTTCTGACTGGTCCCAAGGGTGTGGGCATGGAGGTGTCCTACCTAATCATGGGTTAACCATGCCCTGGTGTGGGCCATTTGCATGCTCCCTACACCTCGGGGGGCGGGAGGGGTGTGCCAGCATGCCCTATGGCTCCATCCCCAGGGAACCGCCGTATCCCTGTTAGGTAGGGGACAGGTACCCCTTCTCCTTTGGCTTAGGCCCAACTGAATGCCAGCTGCCTTGAAGTCGTGCCATTGCTGCTGGGCAAACAGCTTTAAACATGTTGTTGCTGTGAGAATGACAAAACCCTTGTGCGACGAGCCAGTGGATTTCTCCAGGCAAAATTCCTCCCCAATTCATCAGCTGGGGCGTTGAGATATGATCACAGAATAGTAGGGATGGAAGGGGCCATGAAGGCCATCGGGTCCAACCCCCTGCCATTGCAGGACACCACGTTACACCATCCCATTAGATGGCTGCCCAGTTTCTTCTTGAATGTCTCTAGTGTAGGGGAGCCCACCCCTTCCCTGGGCAGTTGGTTCCACTGCTGTATTGCTCTAACAGTGAGGAAGCTTTCCCTGATGTCCAGCCTGAATCTGGGTTGTTGCAGCTTGCATTGATTATTCCATGTCCTACACTCTGGTATCAGTGAGAAAAGATCTTGACTTTCCTCTTTGTTGCAACCTTTGAGATCCGTATAGAGGGATATCATGTCCCCAAGCAACGCACGGTCTTTCCGAAGGAGAAGGAAGGGTTGGATCAAGACTGTGACCGCCTTTTCGCATGGGCTAGTTGAAGCCCAGGCTGTGTCCCCTTCTCGTGGCTGCAGGCTGGAAAGCTACCCTCTCTGCCCACTCCCAGAGGCCTCGCCTCGCCTGCCCCAGCCCAGCCCAGCCCAGCCCAGCAAGCACTGCTGGTTGGACTGAGGGAGGCAGCTGCAGCCCCGGCCCTGCCCAGCCACACAGCAAGCTGCTGATATCCGTACTCGTGGTGCCACAGTGCCCTTGCTGCAGCACAAACAGGACGCCCCCAGTTAAATGGAGAGTACAACCTGAGAGAACTTCAAGAACGGGCAACTGAATTTGCTTGCTTGCCCTTTCTGTTCTCATTGTGTATTGTGCCTATGAGGTCACGGCTCTGCAGGCAGGCTTAGCCCTTTCTATGAATAGGACTTCCAGACTGGTTGGTTTCTAGCTTTATGATTCCACATATGCGGTACATACAGGAGGCCCCAAGTCCGATGCCTGACGTCTCCTGCCTGTAACCTTGGAGAGCTGCTGCCAGTCAGTGCTGACAGCCCTGGAGTTGATGGGCCAAAGGTCTGACTTGGAACAAGGCAGCTTCCGAGACTCCTACTTAAAAACATTTCAGAGCTTTGCAAGTAAATTTATTGGCAGCATCACGTTCGTCAGCATCACCACCGTTCCTTCTGCTTTGACAATAGAGAACATTTAAAAAGGGGATGCTGTGTGTATTTGGAAGGAACAATAGCTCCCTGCTTTGCTGCTGGCATCTGCGTAAAATTGCTTCAGGAGATATAATCCACCTGAGTGACATTGAAGCCCGCAGTAACACTCTGAGACATTGTGTGGACTCACAAGCAGAAAATAGCAATGGCAGCCAAATACGGCAACTATCTGATGAGGGGCCAGTCATGGAGTAAATTTATTGTTCTGTAGTGTCATAAAGACTGCATCTCCAGGATGGGCTTCTTTACAGTGCAAAGAATGGCCACCGGCAGTAGCCCAAAACACTCCTATTTACAACAGCTGCTGCTCACATGAACAGAAAAACTCATGCCTGCTTGATTGTTAGAATTAAATAGCCAACACTTCTGATAATTATGTTTTAATTTAAAAAATTCTGCTTCCCACAGTAGGTGCCATTATTAACCATATTTACAAGTACACAATGAAAGAGCTGAAGTTCAAGAAACGATGTCAGCACAGATGAACCTCATCATCTCTAAACAAGGAATACAGGAAGCCTCTGCATCTGGCATTCCATCCATCCACTTGTTCCTCTCCGCACATGTATGTGTGGAGCAGCCAGGGTTCATGTCTGCTTGTCCGTACAACATGTTTGTCCATCTATGCATAGTCACACAGCATTAGATTTGCCCATAATTTAATCAGCATGAATAGAGACATTTGCTGTTTAGCTCAGCGACATGCAAAACATTTTATTTGAAGATAAAAGAATTAATGGTTTATTGTTGCTGTTTGGACAAGGTCTTTTGGGGTTTCTGGCCACACATTCCAAGGTTAGAGCATCAGCGGAGAGACATTTTGTGGTTATCTTTGTCAAGGGTCTTGTGTGGGAGGATTTGGCTTGAGCAGGGACTCTGCATGAATAAAGGGCTGTGCTTTTCATCCTGAAAGTCGGCTGCCGGTTCAGTTAAGCCTCTGCAAATAAAAAAAGCCCATTCTGCTTTAGTTCGACTTATTTGCTCCTCCAGGTAGGCTTGTCCATGGCCTTAATTTTTTGAAGTGACCTATGAATAAAACAGATGACAGTAGGTGATGATCCAAAATCTTGGCAGCCACCCAAAAGCTGAGCAAGGGCGGCAAAGAATTGCCATGTGAGACTCCCTGGGCCCCAGGAGCCCTCTTGGGAAACTGTCATGATTGTAGCTCCCCAGATAGACTTGGAATACTCGGGAAGTAAATCCCTCCTAATCCAAAATGCTCAATTGCTTGCATAATGGTTATTCACACTGAGGCATTTTCTGATGGAAGCACACAGTTGCCAAGTCCTTCAGCCTTTCCTCTGGACTTCGTTGGGCAACATTCCAGCTGATTTTAAAAGGGATTTCAACCAAAAGGTGCCAGACTTCATTGCAAGATCCTAAAGCTGCTTCTTTCAACCGGCGGGCTTGAGTCCACTGCGAAGGAACGCGAAGCAGAGTCCTCTGCCAAGCTCTGGACTTTGCCAAGCTCTCTGATGTGATCCAATTTTTTGAACTATTAAAAAAAGTCAGCATAGTGTGTGCTAACCATGTTTTTCCCACTCCTGATGTCAATGAGTAACATATGGTCCTTTCCTTATTATTTTCATAGTGCATTTTTCCCAGAGATTGTTTTTTCTGATT